CTATTACTTGCACCCTCTACATAAGGATTTTTAATCCCTGAACATGTCTACAGAAGCACAAGTATCGGCTATCCTGGAAGCTAAGAAAGAAGTATCAAAGAGATGTCTGACAATATTAGAGTCAGAATTAGTACTATTTGAGTATCTTAAAGGAAAGGTATCGTCTTGCACATCTTCAGGCGAATTGTCCAACACCCATCGATAGCAATAAGCGAACCACTGATCAACTAATGGCGAGTGCTGTAGAATTACTTGACCACGATGAGTTAGATATCGACCAACTATCACCTGTTAGTAAGCGCAAACGAATTTGGCTTGAAAGACGGCAGGCAGCTATCGCTGATAAGGATGGGAATACTTCTGGTTCGACAAATGATACATCTGCTATGAAGGCTAAAGTCAGGCGAGAACTAGAGACATGGGGGAGTCTTTCTTGTGTGATGCCTAAGACTAACCTCGTGAAAAAGGGTAGAGGTCGTGCGACCAAAACCGAGAAACAGGAAGTACACCCAACTCGTCAGGCATTAGAATACTAGGCTGGACTAAAGGATCGATTGCCCACTCTATACATGGTTGCACTAGTATCTTTTAGTATTTTGCCGACCTCTTGTCGCTCAGAGAGTATATTTTCTCCGAGCGGCAACGTCCAAGACAAGAAGCGAAAGGCTTCTTTTAAAGGTAATAATGTGTGTGTGTGCTTGTGTGTATCTAATATATATATATATATATATATGCGCAATGTATGTATGTATATATGCGCAATGTATGTATGTATATATGCGCAATGTATGTATGTATATATGCGCAATGTATGTATGTATATATGCGCAATGTATGTATGTATATATGCGCAATGTATGTATGAATGTATATGTATATATATATATATATAAATATATATATATATATATGCATGCACACACACACACTAATAATACTAAAACTACTTACCTATACAGGTGACACATTCGCTAAGATCAGCTTCGTGAAGGGAAACAGTCAGCTCCTTTGTATGGTTTATCTGGGTTCTATTTGATGCTGTGGAATCCGCCACTCGATCAAATAATGGCAAACATCCAAGAGGATGATGAAATCACAAATGCATAGATATATTCTAAATAAAGTACAATATAAATCGGGTTTAATCGCGTAAACAAACATATTAATATTAATATATATATATATATATATAAATTCAGATGTGAGATGTCGGAACCATTGATTGTAGTTTTTTAATTATCACAACGATATCATGTTGGACTGTGACGGACAAGATTGATGATGAAGTAAAAACAATCTGTGTATATTTTTTTATAAAATCGACGTGTACACACACAGCGTATACATGTGTACACACCTGTGCATGTCTGTGTGTGACTATACATAGTGTATACAAACTATATTCAAATACTTACTCCTTCTGAAGGGCATAGAATTTCGTGATCATATACGACATGTTGACGAGGTATATAAGTATATTAGATATACATTCTTGTTACATATATGTTAGTTATGATACATGCGAAATATATAAGCGATAAACCTAATTTACATGTTACATACCTAATGAAATTAATCCTTGCCACCAGATTGACCACTTCCTTACTCAGCGGTGGTCAATGGACCTACTGATTCTGGAACTTAATGAGGCGTAGACGCGATGTTACTTATTATAATTGTTTATAATTTGAATGAGATCATTTAAACATTCATAGGTCTTAGTATCAATGAAAGGTCACTTTATGCATGTGAAACATGTGCATATTATCATGCATATAATGACAGTGCACATGTTCGGGTGTGTCCACATGTGGGTGTGTGAGCACGTGTGTGTGTGTGTGTGTATGTGTATATATGTGTGTGTATGTTTGCCTGTGTGCACTGGGTACTCAGGTGTGTGTGTATATATGTATATGCATCATGCATATGATGACATGATGCATGTCGATAAACATGTGTCATAGCTTGATGCATGGACCACACACATGTGCACACACACACAGATGTGGTCACATACTCACATGTGCACTGCTATCACATGCATGTGAAACATGTGCATATATCATGCATATAATGACAGTATACATGTTGGTGTATGTCCACATGTGGGTGTGGGTGCACGTGTGTGTGTGTATGTGTATACATGTGTGTGTATGTTTGCCTGTGTGCACTAGGTACTCATATATG